TTTGACTAATATATGAACATGGACACTGAGTATATGGGGCCTTCTAAACCCCACCAACTTTGTTGGAGTGTGTGTTTTTAATCAGCCTTTGTTTCTCAGTCCCAGTGTTTTTGAAAGCAAGGTTTATATTGATCTTTTTTAATGCCTCACTCACGCAAACCAGGTTCTCATTGACGGTAAACTAGTCCCTTTTTTCCCTGGCAATCATTTCCTTTTAGGTTCATTTCCTGTAGAAAGTCTTGCTTGTGACTTTAGTCCCCTTGTCGACAAAATCCCTAGGATATCTAGGTTTTTAAATTATTTTGGGGATTTGTCTTTTTAAGTATTGGAGTGCAGATGCAAAAAGGCTTCAAAAAACATTGTGAGGAACCACACCTTTTCCCCCTTGTTTCTTTGTTGGAATATTTAGTAAATGCATGAGGGCCCAAACTGGGGATGCCCTTTAGATAAATATGAATTTTCTGTAAACACGATGGTTTTTAAAAACCCTGGGAAAACGCAAAGTGTTTTTTTTTTATGTTCTTTTTGTAAAACTTAATGGAAGGTACTGACCATTTCCAGTCTAGGGGGGGAAACCCTACCAAGGTGTAAATCCAAAGGTTTATAGGAAAAAGAACATCATTACGTATCTGAACCAACAAAACTTTTCTAGGAGAATGTCTTTAAGAAGTCTGGGTTCTTCATAGGATTCCTTTCAAGTTGCTGAGAAAGGGGGCCCCTAAGGGGTTTTCCCCCATTGTCATGCCTTGTTTTTTGAGATAGAAAATTTCCCCTTTCCCAAACACGAATTGCAACCCATTTTAAAAAAATTTGTGGGGGTAATTTAAAATATATTATATATATATATATATATATATAATATATATATATATATTTTATATATATATATTATTTTTTTTTTTATTACCCCCGGCCCGACCCCCCACCAAGGCAGGGTGGCCCGAAAAAAGAAAAACTTTTCCCATCATTCACTCCCTCACTGTCTTGCCAGAAGGGTGCTTTTTACACTCCAAATTTTTTAAAAATGCAACATTAACACCCCCCCTTTAGAGTGCAGGGGACTGTACTTCCCCTTCCCGGATCAAGTCCGGCCTGCCGGTTTTCCCCGAATCCCCTTTATTAAAAAGTTACTTTTCTTTACACCCCAAAAAAGCACGTCAAAATATTAAAAACCATTTGTCTCCATTCACTCTATCAAAAACGCCCCCACGCATGCCTGCTGGAAGTCCAAGCCCCCCGCACACAAAAACCCCCTTTTTTCCCCCCCCCTCCCCAAACCCCCCCTAGGCCGACCCCTTTCCCCCCTTCCTTCACTACAGAGATACAAAAAATTTTTTGGGGGGTCATTCTGTTTTTGCCCCCATTTTCTCTACAGTCCGAAACCCCCTCAACCAAAAACCCCTTTCCCCAGGGCCCCTTTGGGCAACAGTTTTTGGGAAAACCCGCACCCTTTCCCAAACTTCCAAAATACGAATTCTCTGCATTATATTCACACCAACACATTGCCCCCAGACATGGGCATCTCCCCTGCCCCCAAAACCCTTTTCCTCCCGCAAAAATTTTTATCCCCACGCTTCACACCCATATAAGAGCGTTGGTTTTAAAAAAATTTTTTAACCTCCATACATTCCCCTCTTTGCCCCCCAAGGACAAAATTCTTTGTTCCACAGAAATCCTAAATGCACCACTCACTCTTTTTCCCTCATCAAATTTCTATGATTCACCTCATCTTTTATTTTTTGGGCCCCCCGCTGACACGTCCACTCCCCAAAAATTGAATACGTTCAAACCCCCTCCTCCCCTCTCCCCCCAAACTGATTTCAATCTTTCATCACCCAATCTTTTGTTTTCCTCATAAACCCTTTCTCTTTCCTGTATTCACCCCTTTTAAATTTTTTTCTTTTGCAACCCTACCAATTCTCCACCCAAACTCTTTCAACTTCTCTTCAGAATTTTCCCAAGGGCAAAAGTTGTCATCAGCAAGAGCAGCTGTGACAACTCCCCCTTTGTGGTGATTTTTTATCTTTTAACTCCCCGGCCCCTTGCCAAGACCCTTTGATTTACTTCTCTTACAACCCCATCTTTAAAAATATTTAAAAAACCCGGTGCATCACCCCATCCTTGGGGCTTTTTAAAAGGCCCACTTTTACTGGGAAAAAAATTTCCCCCTTTCCTACATACTCTAACTTGAGCCTCACTTCCTCGTAAAAAAATCTTCACTGCTTTCAGTAACCTACCCCCTACACCAACACTTGAAAACATCTGCCACATTGCCCCCCTATCCCCCTTCATACCCCTTTTTCCCAAATCCATAATGCCACAAAGACCTCTTTAGCCTTTTTCTAAATACTGTTCACTTATAGGGTTTCACTGTAAACACCTGGCCCACACACCCCCTCCTTTCCAAAAGCCTCCTTGTTCATCTGTTTCCCTTTCCCCGTTTACTCAAATTCTTTAAATTTTAAATCTACCATCACTTTCCAGGTACACTCAAAGATTATCCCCCTATAATTTTTGCACTTCTTTTATCCCCCTTTGCCTTTAAAAGGGAAATGCATACTCTCTCCCATCCCTAGGTACCTTACCCTTTTCCCAACATTTATTAAAAAATTGCACCAACCACCCCAAAAAAACATATCCCCCCTGCTTTTAAATTTTTTTATCTTTATCCAAAATCCGGTTTGCCTTCCCCCCTTTCATTTTACCTACTGCCTCACGAATTCCCCACACACAACGGCTCTTCCTCACTCCTACAAGATGTTATTCCTCCTTTCCCTATACCGAAATCACAGCTTCCCTATTTTTCAACATTTTAACAAATTCCCCAAAAAATTCCTTCCTCTTCCCAATACCTCTAACTCTCCATTTAATAATCTCCCCTTTCCCATTTTTTAAATGACAAATCCATTTGTTCTAGGCTTTTTTTTAATTATAATATATATGTCGTGCCCAATGGAGAACTTGCGATCGGCTTTAAATGCAACGCTCATCCCGATATAGGACAAGTGAAAAATTTGTATATGCAAAAATTTCGCCCAAAAACATTCGGACCTAACGAAAAAAAAAATATATTTCACAGTGTTTGTTTTTAAAATTAAATTATTTTAAATTATTAAATTATATGTTGGGTTAGGCGAAAATAAATTATTCTTGTTTATTAAGGTAAAATTAAGTTTTCTAAGATTTTTTGGAGCAAAATTAAAATTTTTTACTTAACATT